GTGATAAGGATACTGCTCCACAGGTTCTTACAATATAGTTGGGAAGACTGAAAATGTAAAAATAATAAACACAAATTAGAGTGCTCATACACAATGCTGCAGATACTATTTTCTCTCATAAACAAGGGAGCAAGCCCTTCTTTCCTCCATCACATAAACACATCTTTCCCTTTGTGTGTCCTCTCTGACATAGCCACAGAGAGAGGTAAATTTTATCTATTTTTTTCTTTTTTTGCTTTATCTTCTGTTGGAATGTTTCTCATTCTTTTTCCCTGGGGATAGGGTTATTAAAAACAGGGAGGTCATATGTGGGACTTCCCTGTGCCACTCCCTGGTTCCAAATAAAGGAGATTCCACAATAGGGTGTGTTGCAGATAGTGGAGCAGTCAATGGTAAATGTGGCAGCCAGCTACATCACCCATTCCCAAAGTGAAAGGCATTGTTATGGGTCTAGAGAAAGTGACATCTCACAATAGAGCTGCAGTCCAGTAACCTGGCTCAACTCCAAAGCTAGCTGTGCAAACCTTGTCTCTGAACACATGACAGTCTTCCTCCTGCCACTTCTCCTTTCCCACCTGTCACATGTGTGGCAAAGTGCAAAGTACAAAGTTCTTTAAATCTTCTATTTCAAAACTACCATCTGTCTTCTTAAGATTTTTCACAATACCAGCAGGACATCACTGCTGACATTCTATTTCTAATTTTTAATGTGTTCAAATCACAATCCCTGCACACAAAAAGGCACACACTTTCTAACTCTTCTGAATGTGCTGATGTTCTGGCAATAACTATATTCTCCTTTTCTGGTTAGCTCTCAAATGCTGGACAGGAAATAATTACTACAGAAAGAAAGAGCAACGTATGGGAAATCAGTATACCTGAGTTCTAGTCCTGAACCTGCCTGTAGCCATCTGTAGCATCTTAGGCAAAGTTACCCCTATGTCTGCTGAGTCTGTTTCTGCTCAGCTCATCCATTATGGAGCTAAGAGATGGGACTGCCTTTGACTGCCTTTGCTAAGGAGTAACCCACAACAGTGTGAGCAGAGTAGCAGTAGATTTGCTCTTTCTAAAACTGTGGGATAAGCAGGGTTGCAAAGCATAGTCCAGAACCAAAATCAAGACCAATCACACAAGATTGTTGAGTCTAAAAACTGGGTCCCAAGACAGAAAGAAGGTCCAAAAATAAGCCTTCGTGACACACATGCAAAATTCCAGAACAGAGCAGTTAATTTTAGGAGTTGACAGAAGTGTTTTTCTCTTCTATCTTCTATCTTTTTTCTGTCTATCTTTACCATCCTCACTTCCATGAGGTTCTGATAGGGATGCTGAATTCTCTATCCCTACCAAAGGATGGGTACTTGACCCAATGCAGGTCAATTGGTATCCCTCTTGTCTGATAATTTAAATCTGGAGCAGAAAAAAATCCAGCAGCAGAAGTCAGCTGGTCTTCAGTGCTTGAATGGTAGCATCTTAGCCCTTTTGCTGCTTAGATCCCTGGAGCTGCCCTTGTAAAAGGTCAGGACTTCCTTATTAAGGTCTCTGTACCCTTGAAATGGACCTTCTTTTTTGCTGCAGTGTTCATTCAGTTTCTCCTGGTTTCAACAAAAGAACAAAGCATATCCCCAAACGCTAGAATTCAAATAGGCACAAGTATGAAGCTTTGGTCTTCTTGTGCAGCAGAATGCATCCCGGGAATGCTGGCTGGGAGCAAGCAGGAGGCATGTTAGAGTCAGCACCAGAAACTGGTGAAGGGGAGGGGGCAGCACAGTGGTGAGAGGATAGGGCAGCAAAGGGAGCGGGGTGCGGACAGTGGACAGTTGTTCATTGAAAAATGAGCTGATTATCCTAGATGATGTCTAAGTTCTAATTAGCATCCTATAATTCAAAGTGATCAACTCCATGGCCCAAATTATTATTACCATGTTTTAAGTGAGATAGAGGAAGAAACTTTGGTCTTTTTCTCTTTTGGTCTTGCTTTTTGGTAAGAATCTAGTGGATGGGAATATCCAGAAATGTAGGATGATGTATGACTCCAAGCGTTCTGATTCACTACTATAAATGCAGAGGGGTGTGCATGTGGCAGAACCCTGTTAATAACATTCATGTGACATTTTTTATGTGCCTCACAAATGAATCCTGCCAAATCATTAGGCGAGCCCAGTTTTATCATTATAAGTATACATTTATTCTGGAACACCTCTGTGTGTGGCAAGGTTTTGATATACTTCTTTTCCAGGAATATTTCTTGATGTTAACATCAGCTTGTACTTTCGTACCCTGGGCTACCATGACATAAGAAACCTTTCACTCATCTTGAAATTTCCTCCTATTTCCCTTGTACACTACTAAGGAGTATATTTTCTGAGTCTCAGATACACAACTCCACCATTGGTAGGTTTTCTGCCCTGTGATCCTTTTGGGGTTTTCTGGTTTAGTTGTCATGGAAGGCACACCAGTGCACATGAGTACAATGTCAAGCACGCTTCTGCCTCAGAGCCTTTGTAGTTTCTTGGCCTAGAACTGTTTCCCCCAGGTGTCCACTATTTATGAGTCCATGTATCTTTGGTCCGTTCTATTGGTCTCTGAGTTAGAAGATGGAGAATTAATTAGTCATTCACATACAAAGAAGAGATATTAGTTGTACATCTTGAGCGCTAAGCAAATCTTTGATTTCAGGGGTGGAGGTAGGGGCTGGCAAGGGAGCAGGGATGGGAAGCTGTTATACACATGAATCATATTTCACTTATCATCTGACTCAACCAGCCAGTTAAAACAAAAATGACCTTTTAGCAGGAATTGATGCAGAAATGAGCTGGGCGAGTTAAGTTTTGGCATCCTAAGATCACAGAGTCACTCTTCTGATGAGCAGCAAACAATGTGGCCTTTTAGGGGTGAGAAACTGGTGAAAGGGAAGCCCACAGGCAGTGTGCTGAGTAGGGTGAAATACAGTTTCAAGAGCTTCCTGTACATAAAGTGTTTAGCATTCACATTATGGCTTTATTGCTCAAATTCACTGAAAACAAATAAAAAAATTTCTGAGTGTGAACCCATCCAAAAATCTGTACCTTTTTCTCATTCACAGCACTTTGAACAAGGCTAATGTTATTTTGTGGGTTACGTTTTAAAAGAGCAGTCCTTGTCTTTGGTAAGATGTCCTTAGAATAATAATATTTATCACTAAAAGAAGGATATTTTAAAAATAATGACTAGGGAGGTAGAAAATGGGAAAGTATATAGAAGAAATTAGATTTGCCATAAATTGGTAATTATAGATATTGGATGAAGAGTACATGGAGATTTGTTGTACTACACTCTACCCATTTAAATGTGTTTGAAATTTTCATAATCAAAAGTTATTTTTTAAAAAGACTACCATTAGATTTCTGACAAAGCTACACTGCTAAATAACAAGATTCTCTCCGACTTACATAAATACTTACAATTTCTTACAGTAAATGTATTAAAACTGCTTATCAAAATGCAGCTAGCTAGGTACATGAATTATCTTTTTGATAAAAATGGGAACTTCACATACTCCTTTACTAGATCACACTGCTGAGAGTTGTAGACAGACCTCATATTTTTAGCCTTCTCTGAAGACTTCTCTGGAAGCCTTCTCTGGACATATAAGAGCTACTGTACCCATGGTTGTGGGTTGGGAACCTCTAAGTGAACAAGATTGCATCCGTACATCCTGAGCTTCTACGGAATCAAAAGCTCTAAAAATGATTAATTACACCAAGAGTGGAATGAGAATATTAAAATAAATGACTATACTTATTTAGCCTCTGAATCTCAAGTTTCACTATTTAGGTTACTGTTTCTGTCTATCTGTCCAACTCAAGTGGAAGTCATATCTAAGCAGTGCCACTACAAAGACCTCTTATCAAATAGATATCCCTAAGAAAATTGGACCAAAAAATTTAAACTCCCACATGGATGAGAATAACAGTATCTTATCTAGTGTCTCTTTTTCTTCCAAATCATCCTTTATGTAGCTGTCAATCATCTTTCTAAGAAAGACCTATGGCTCTCTAATTTCCACTCAAGGGACCTTCACTCATAGAAAATAAAAACCAGACTCTGTCCCATCATTTTAAGACCTTTACTTCCACCTGACCTGCAATGACTTCTATAATAGCTACATCCCATTCTCCCGGTCTCTTTACCCATCCCTCTTCATTCCACCACCCTCTTAATCCCCAACCTTATTCTCACACTACTTGCTGTATTCATTTTCTATTGCTTCACAATGAATCACTACAAACTTAGAGGCTTGAAACAATATCTACTTATTATTCTATGGTTCTGTAGGTTAGAAGTTCAAAGCAGGCTTAACTGGGTTCCCTGTTTAGGGCCACTGGGGGTCATAGACTTCTGTCTACCACACCTGCCTCCCTGCCTTACCTAACAGTGTCACATCCAACAGAAATGAAACCCAGCAGAGGGTTGTGTGCACTGATGCTTAGGGGTGACGGTGTACAATTCCTAAAGACAACAGAGACAGAAGCCAACAAAAGGTGGGACTACCGGAATAAAAAGGCAGAGCTGTGCCCACAAGGTCATGGACTGACAATAAGAAACTAACTCAAAAAGCCTATGAACAAGGACACCTCATATACTTCCCAGAGTATCCTTCAGCATTTTACAAACAGCCTCAGGCAGCTAAATGGTTTTCTTAAACATATGTAGTCGGGTATAATACTACAGAGTATTGCAATAATGTATTAATGAAATAAGGAATCTGAAGATACTAACTACTAAGCCATAAAGTGTCAATCAAACCTAAGCTATAATTATTAAAATATTTCCTATTATATTAGTATTTTGTTACATAAAAGAATAATAGCTAATAGTTTTTGAATGTTTACTGTATGACAAGCTTTATGATTTCAAATGGATCATATCTCACAACAACCCTATGAAATAAGTAGTTTTGTTATATTTCCATTTTACAGATAAAGAAACTGAATATCAGAAAATTTAAAGAGCTTAAATTATGCAGTCAGGAAGTGATAGAACCCAGATTCAGATGCAGGTTTGTCTGATGCCAAGCCTGTTAGTAATCATTATGTTACACCATGGCTGCTAAGAAAAGAATCAGAGACAGTTACAAAGGGAGAAAGGAACAGACAGATGGAGAGAACAAACACAGACCCTACTCTGGAATTATTGAGTTGGGTTTACCAGTTAAGGTAAAATGCCCTGGTGACAACTTGCTTTTCACATCTTTTCTGGGGTCCTTCTGGAATTCCCTGTTTTGTATTCTTTGTTTTCATAATCTGTCATAATCTTTGAAATGAAAATGGTTGCTTGAGTATTTGCTTGTTCTTTTCAGCTTTCCACTTTTTTTTTCTCCCTATGCCAAATTATCAAGAGTACCTTCTGTAGCTGGGGCCAAGATGGACAACTGTTGTATTCATTAAATTGCTATGGATGGAAAAAAAAAGATCTCATTGGAATCAAACCAAAACCGCTATGATGAGGTGTTCATTACTTCCATATAAAGCAAGTCCATGGGGACATGGAGGGACAGATACACTATGAAAGGAAACTGATGCAGCAGGGAAAGCTGGAGCGAAGAAAGAAGACAGGGAATCATTATAAATGGGAATGGAGAGCAACAGGAAAAGGCAAACAGATAAATGATGTTGGAAATTCAGTTGTTTATGGGGAAGGAATTATATCCTTACATCACAGAGTGATTTTAAATGTTGTCCTGTACATAATTACACCTGTCTTGTCACTACTGTATTTACTGACTTATTTGCCTATTTCGGTATCAATACCATACCATAAAGTTTTGTATCACATTCTGATATAGGGTAAGTCCTAACTAACTGCTGTCTTTCTAAAATCTATTGGCTATTTTTTCATATTTTCTTTTCTGGATGAACTTTATCAGTGATCGAGCTTCATTAAAAACGCGATTACAATTTTAATTGAAGTGTATCAAATTAATTGATTTTTTTTTTTTGAACAATTGACATTTTTACACTATTCAGACTTTGCGTCAAGGAACCTGCTATGTCTAGCCATATGTGTTTCTTTATGTTCTTTCATAATTTTTGTGGTTTACTAAGTTTGAGTTTTACACATAGTTCTAAGTTTATTTCGAGATGCATAATAATTTTTGTGGTCATCATTCATGAAACTTTCTGACCATTATATTTTCTTTCTTTTTTTTGTTTTTTTTGGAGGGGCAAAGTCTTGCTGTTTTCCAGGCTAGAGTACAGTGGCCTGATATCAGCTCACTGTAACCTCCGCCTCCTGGGTTCAAGCTATTCTCGTGCCTCAGCCTCCCGAGCAGCTGGGATTACCAATGTGCACCATCATGCTTGGATAATTTTTGTATTTGTAGTAGAGATGGGGTTTTACCACGTTGGCCAGGCTGGTCTCGAACTCCTGACCTCAGGTAATCTGCCTGCCTCAGGCTCCCAAAAGTGCTAGGATTACAGGGTGAGCCATTGCCCTGGGCCTTGGCCATTATGTTTTCTAACTGATGGGTAGGATGGCTAGCTATTCAGCTACCTATTAAATTTATTTATTAGGTCTAATAGTCTTTGCCTGATTCTCTCTAATTTTCTAGGCAGACAGAAGTACTGATTTTGCAAAGGAACAAATAACATAACATTTATAATTCTTATTTTCTTTTCTTGTTCTTTGTTAGCCCATCAATACAATACTTGCCATAATTTTCTGAATTGCACCCTTTATAAAGTAAAGGCAGTTTTCTTCTATTCCATGCTAGCTAAATGTATTATTAGTAATGGGTGTTGAATTTAACCAAATCTGTACTGGGAATCCACTGAAATGATTACATAGGATTGACTGAACTGCCTTAATTTCTGGAGCTCAGGGGTACTCTTCCAGACTTACTAGGCCATTGGCAAAATTAAGTTTCTTATGGTGGTAGGATTGAGATATCTGTTTCATGTGGGCTGTCACATGGGGCCTCCTCTTACCTCCCAAAGGCCCTGAAGTTCTTGCCATGTGGCTTCCTTGCAGGTTCTCTCAAAGACCTTCTAACAACATGGCAGCTTGCTTCTTCAAAGCCAACAGGAGAATCCCTCACCCTTATCTCCTAAGGTGAAGCCTTATACAATGTAAAGTAATCATGAGAGTGACCATAATCTATTCTATTCTGTATCTATGCCTTATTCTATTCGTTTCTATTCTATTGTGTTATATTTGTATTTGCTAGAAGCATGTCACACAAGGGAATGAGACTAAGTATTATAATTGTATATAAGTTTATATATATTTTCTTTCAATTTTAAAAAATTTCTTTATGATCACATTCTTTCCAAAAAAATTCTTCATGTATTTTATTTGTTCTTTTATTTTCACTTGAATTTGTCAGATTTTATATTCTCAAAGAACCAATTTTTGTTGTTGTTGTTGTTTGTTTTCTATGTAGTTGATTTCTGCTTTACCTTCAGTCCTTTAAAGACATTGTTTTATTTATCTAAATGGAAAGAACAAAGCTGGAGGCAACATGCTACCTGACTTCAAACTATACTACAGGGCTACAGTAACCAAAACAGCATGGTACTGGTCCAAGAACAGAGACATAGGCCAATGGGACAGAATAGAGAATCCAGAAATAAGACCATACACCTACGATCATTTGATCTCTGACAAACCTGACAAAAACAAGCAATGGGGAAAAGGATTCCCTATTTAATAAATATTGCTGGGAGAACTGGCTAGAATATGCAGAAAATTAAAACTGGACCCCTTCCTTACACCATCTACAAAAATAAACTCAAGATGGATTAAAGACTGAAATGTAAAACCCAAAACTATGAAAACCCTAGAAGAAAACCTAGGCAACACCATTCAGGACATAGGCATGGTAAAGATTTCATGACAAAGACACCAAAAGCAATTGCAACAAAAACAAAAATTGACAAATTGGATCTAATTAAACTAAAGAGCTCTCACACAAAAGAAACTATCAACAGAGTAAACAGACAACCTACAGAATGGGAGAAAATTTTTGTAAACCATGCATCTGACAAAGGTCCAATATCCAACATCTATAAATAAATTTACAAGAAATAAACAAACAATCCCCTTAAAAAGTAGCCAAAGGACATGCCCAGACACTTCTCAAAATAAAACATACATGCAGCCAACAAACATATGAAAAAAAGCTCAATATCACTGATCCTTAGAGAAATGCAAATCAAAACCACAATGAGATACCATCCCACACCAGTCAGAATGGCTATTCTTAAAATGTCAGAAAAACAGTAGATGCTGGCAAGGTTGGGGAGAAAAAGGAACACTTTTACACTGTTGGTGGGAGTGTAAATTAGTTCAACCATTGTGGAAGATAGTGTGGTGATTCCCCAGAAACCTAGAGGCAGAAATACCATTCAAGCCTGAAATCCCATTACTGGGTATATACTCAAAGGAATATAAATTGTTCTATTATTAATAAAAAGACATATGCATGTGTATGTTCATTGCATCACTATTCACAATAGCAAAGACATGGAATCAACCTAACTGTCCATCAATGATAGACTGGATAAAGAAAATGTGGAACACATACACCACGGAATACTATGCAGCCATAAAAAGGAACAAGATCATGTCCTTTGCAGGGACATGGATGGAGCTGGAGGCCATTATCCTTAGCAAACTAACACAGGAACAGAAAACCAAATACCACATGTGCTCACTTATAAGTGGGAGCTAAATGATGAGAACTCATATACACATGGAGGGGGAACAACAAACACTGGAGCCTGTTGGAGGTCGGAGGGTGGGAGGAGGGAGAGAATCAGGCAGAAGAGCTAATGGATACTGGGCTTAATACCTGGGTGATGGGATGATCTGTGCAGCAAACCATCATCTAAAGTTGATGACTGTAGTGAACAAAACAGCCTTCCAAAAATCTCTGTCTCTTAATCCCTGAACCTGCGAATGCTACCTTACGTAGCAAAATGCACTTTACAAATGTGACTAAATCAAGGATCTTGAGATGGAGAGATTATCCTGGATTATTCACGCAGGTCTAATGTAATCATAAGGGTGTTACAATGGAAAAAGGGAGGTAGGAAAGTCACAGAGAAGGAGATGTGACAATGAAGTGATGCAACTGCTGGCTGCCAAGAAATGAGGGAAGTCTCTAGAAGAACCTCTTCCCCATGAGAAAGAAAAAAAAAAAGGAGGGGGTAAGGAAAGAGATTCTCCTCCAGAGCATCCAGGAGGAATATATCTCTGCTGACACCTTGATTTTATCCTTTAAAAACTTATTTTGGACTTCTGACCTCCAGAACTGTAAGATAATTAATTGTTTTAAGCCATTTGCAGTAATTTGCTAGCAGCAATGGGAAATGAATACAATGACAAAAGTCATGAGTGCAGTAACCACAAAGCAGGCATCTGGGCATAATTGCTGGTTGATCATTCTAATCTCTAACCTGAGACCCAGTGTTCCTCAATATGAATACCGGATCTGCACAAAGCCTAGTTTGTTTTGGTTTTGAGTTTGGGGCACTATCCCCTGCTCCCAGTATTCTAGGTTTTACAGACCCACAACACGGCATCACTATGAAACTGGCCAAGCTTGGGAACCTTGTAAATTACCTCGTTTGGACTCCTACAGATTCTCTGGTTCCTAATCTGGAATCCAGGCCCTGGAGAGGTTCTCTTTGCCTGAACACCAGAACCTCTGCCAGAATAAGTCATTCCTCCATAAATCTGTGGTGCTCCTCACTAGTGTTTGAGATTTGATTGATGAAACCTCTGAGGGCTGTCCTGGGCCCTTTGAGCCGACTGTCCTCTGGGTTTAGCTACTGAAATCCTTTGGAGAACGCAGAATGCTGTTGAATTGTGTTCAAAAGAAGGAGTGCCCAATGGTAAAAGTCTAGGCAGAGAGAAAGACATGAGGGCAGAGGGATACAAAGTGGGGACTATTTCTGTGGCCAATGCCAGACACAGGCAGGTGGCATTTTATGCCCCAGAGCTAATGATTCCCACCCATATTCCAACTTAAGAAATCCAACAATGCCACCATGTGTGCTGAGCACGCTAACCAGCAAATAAAAATCAAATTTAGCATACTTACTTTTTAAAAATTAAATTATTGAAGAACATGAGTCTTACTGTAATCTCAAATTGTTTTTTTATCACTTTCATTCACATATTCACCAGAGCTTCAGAATATGTGTCCTTTTCCAAACTGCTCCCTTCTGCTCTGAAAAATGAAAAACAATGCAAATATTGAACATCAGATTCTGAGCTGGGTATTGTACTAGACATTGGTACGAGACATTTGTACTGGACATTGTACTAGACTGGGCATTGTACTAGACATTGTACTAGATATTTTTATTCTGTGTAAAACCCCTTAGGTGATTACTATTATCCCAATTTTAAGATGAGCAAAGTGTGTTCAACCACATTAAGTTACTTGCATAAGGACTCACTTCTGGAAGCAGGGCTGGTATTCAGGCAGAGAGAGCTTGCCCAGAGTCTGGACGCCAGCTCAGGGATCCTACTTGTCTTTCAGTTCATTTGACCTTTATTTGATATTTTGTTTAGTACCTACTGTTTACTAGCTCTGTTAAATGTGTTGGATACAGCAGTGAACAAAACAGACAAAAGTTCTGTCCTCAGAATTTACATTCTAGTGTGTTGTCAAGACCCTGGGTTTATTTTATTAGTATCTTAAGATATTCAGCCATACACAGGCATCATAATACTCCACTCAGATGGAAGCTTCATTCTAAGCAGCATCCTAGTTATACTTTCCTTGGGGATCTGACTTCAATCCTTAACATAAGCCCAACAGGAGTTCTTAAGTTTAGAGTTCCTGTAACTTATATGTTTTGACAAGAAGAGCTGGAATTATGCATTTATGGTTCAGGTTTTATTTCCATGATTCCCAAAGGGTGACAGCCAATTGTGAGTTTCTGATGGACTGCATGTGCCTTCTGTTTTGCAATTTGAGGGTCTGAGCAGCACTGGGCCAGGATCAGGCAAAGCAGCTGACACATGCTGGAAGCTCTTTCAATGTTGAATCCAAGCTCTATTGGAATGTGTGAATTCAAAGAATTATTTCATATTGTAATCCCTACTGCCCCGATAGTAACTTCTAACATTACTTTTTCATGCTGCCCGAAGTTCGGTGGAATTTCTATGAAAATGAGATTTTCACTTTTAAAATATTTTAACAGGCAGTGAGTCGAATTTCTACCATGATTAAAGCACGTAGATATAATGAAGCAGATTAAAATTTCTTAGCACCCATAGAAATAGAAATACCGTGGCTAAAAAGCCCTGAATCACAAGCCCTTAAAAATATCAAAGATAGAAATCTTGGAGCAGCCTGCCACCTTCAGGATAACTTCCCAGTTAACGCTATCAGAGATCACTGATTTCAGCTTCTACAAATTTCAAATACCAATCCATGTAAAAATGTTAAGTATAATTAAATAAAGGGCATTTAAATTAGAGTGGCTGAAGCCATCTTCCCTGCAGTGCTTTTGCTCTGATTAAGCATTATATTTAATGATTACATTTCCCTTTCTTCATTTTGGTTCTCTGATTCTTGTTTTATTATTATTATTTTTTCTATTCGATTATCTTTACATCAATATTTTCTTACTTTAAACTGGTTAAAAACAACCACTCTACTTCATTTTGCTAAGCAGAGATCAGGACACTAAAAATAGATTTTGCAACCACAGTAAGAGAAATACTGTAACTTCGGAAATCCTACTACTTCCTTCCTGGTGGGTTTATTATAGATTAATAACAATATTTCTAAAGGGTCTTAAATAAAAGCAGCACTACAGTAACCTATTCAGGAAATGCAGAGAGACAGAGAGAAGGTGAAGGTAACACTCGTTTTTTGTTTTTTTTGTTTTTTTTTTTTTCTGATCTCTTATTGGCTGTTCCTTTCATTAAATTACACAGAGGCTTAAAAAGAATGAAGACAAGACAGAAGAGAAATAGGAGAGGGAATGACTCAGCATTTAGTAGAATGGAGAAGCAAATTAGTAGCAAAAATAAGATAAGGGAAAGTATAACTAAAATCGATACCATTAGGTCAAATGAGAACGGGATGTAACAAATAATGGAAAAAGAGAACACAGTGGCTTGAAAATGCATCAGGTGGGGGCACAGGAAAATAAGAGGCATTTAAATTAGAGCGGCTGAGAACAAATATTCATCGACAATGAACATCCTTTCATTATTTTCCTTTTTAAAAAGCAGGAAAGGGCAACTTGAGAGCCCAGTTTGACCCTGGTGCAATAAGTTCCATTTTTATCGGCTAGCTCTTTGGTGGCATTGCCCTGTGAAACAACTTCAAGGTCAATTTCCTTACGACTTTGGTTTTCAACTCTTCACTGACACTTTGGAATCACGTGTGAAGTCTTATCCAATGCTGGGCCTCACTCCACAAGAATTAAATCAGAAAGTCTGGGGTAGGGCCCGGCACGGAACTTTGCAGAGATTCCTGGGTGACTCCCTCGGAGTTCCAGGGTTGACACCAACCGTGTGTCTGGGGACTCAAGTCCTGCCGCCTCCCACCGGAAGCAGTCCCGGTGGGAGCGGTCGCTCGCCCCGAAGGGAGGGGCTCCCTTTTAAATTCCCTGGGCAGAGAAGCGATGTGTGGCCTCCCGACCGCTAGTGGGCGACGGGCACGCATTTAAGCGCCCGCGGCCGTGCTTCCTCTCACATGTGCGCATCCTCCGGTCGTCCCGGAGGTTTCCTGAGCCGGTGTTCCCACGTGCGGCCTGAACCTGCGGACATAATGCTATGAGGAGATGGGGGCCCTAGTGATTCGCGGTATCAGAAATTTCAACGTAGAGAACCGAGCGGAAAGGGAAATCAGCAAGATAAAGCCCTCTCTCGCTCCCAGGCACCCCTCTACCAGCAACCTCCTGCAAGAGCAGATTAGTCGTGAGTGGTGCGAGGGCGTTTCGGGGCGCGGGGGCGCGGACTCCCGGGGCTGCCCACAGGTTGTGCCTGATGTGGGCCCGGAGGCCGGGGGACCGGCTTCAGTCTGCTCGGCCGAAGCCGCTCGTGGTGGCTGAGCGCTGGAAGGGGGAGCCGCTAGGCCGGTGACATTGAGACTGTCCTCCGCGCCCGCGGTGAGGTCGGCCGCCCCGCCTACTTCCGAGTCCCAGAGGCAGCGGCCTGTGCCCCCGCTAACGCGGGCCTCTCCGGCTCCTGTGAGGGACTTGATACCGGGCGTCAAAATCCGAGAGGGTCACAGAGCTTTCTCTAGGGGTCCTCACTGGACGATGGACGCCGAGCCTGACCTGGAATTTTGATGTCCATTTAAAGTATTTTCCAAACAGTCCAAATGATTATGTTTATTTTTTAAAAAAATTAAAGCGGCTAGGCCGGGCGCGGTGGCTCAAGCCTGTAATCCCAGCACCTTGGGAGACCGAGGCGGGCAGATGACCTGAGGTGAGGAGTTTGAGACCAGCCTGGCCAACATGGCAAAACCCCGTGTCTACAAAAAATACAAAAATTAACCGGGCGTGGTGGCGCGCGCCTGTAATCTCAGCTAGTCGGGAGGGTGAGGTGGGAGAATCTCTGGAACCCAGGAAGCGGAGGTTGCAGGGAGCCGAGATCACGCGACTGCACTCCAGCCTGGACGACAGAGCGAGACTCCGTCTCAAAAAAGAAAAGAAAAAAAAGAAAGGGTTTGTGTTAAGCGTTTAGGATATTACAGGAAATTTTCCTTGATTTTAATATTGTGACTTTTTTCCCTTTCCTTAGACTATCCAGAAATTAAGGGAGAGATTGCTCGTAAAGATGACAAGCTGCTGTCATTTCTAAAAGATGTGTATGTTGATTCCAAAGATCCTGTGTCTTCCTTGCAGGTAAATGTGTGTTTAGTTAAGTGAACACACAATTTACTTATTTTGGGGCTTCAGGAAAATGATTAAGTGTGGCAAGTAGTAAAAAGAGTGCTCTGCAAGTGTGTGTTGTGATCGGTCTACACGCCTTGGCAAAGTTTAAGCACAGTGGTCTAAGACAGTAAGACACTTATGCCTTGGTTCATTGGATATTTACCAGAATTCTAAAATAACTTGTTAAAGTATTGATACAGAGCAACTGTGTGAATTATTCATAGTATTTCAGAATTTGTCAGGCATTACTTCCAGTGGTTGTCATTTGAGTGACAAAAGCAGAGCTTTAATATTTTTTTCTCATTCTTCTGTGGATTGAGGTATGATCTAATCTCAGAGACTCCAATAGTATAGTTGGGTTTTGTGGGGTGTTCTGTTTGTTTTTTTAAGGATATATTCAGATAGGATATTTAAAATTAGGAGAAAGATCAAAGAATACATTGGGAATGGGAACTTATGTGTAAATCCATATACTGTATTATGTAAGTCCTGGGCACAAGTGCTTTGTATATAGTGATGAACAAAACTAGTCCTTGCTCTCACAGGGCTTATGATGCTGTGAAGGACACAGACATTGAACAGATGAGCAATGATGTGACCGTAATTATGGGAAAAGTATGGGCACTTTTGAGTATATTGGAGGGACCTCTTTGAAATTGGAGGATCACGGATGGTTTCTGAGGAAGTGATAGTTAAATGCTCAGGCCTGAGGGATCAATTGGAGTTAACCAGATGAGTTTTTGGGGGCAGGAAGATTCTAGTTAGGGATAAAAGTTTGATTAAAGGACAAGGAAGTGCCAACAACTTCCAGATTTTTTTTTTTTTTCACTCTAAAATATTCTAATACTGTCTCTCTGTCTCTGGATATTTGCACAGATACAATTATTAATATAATTTTCACTACAGAGGAGAAATAAAACGATTTGTAAATCGCTGTGCATAGTAATTGTAGGGTTCAGTTATCACCAAATGCTCACATTAAAAAGGTATAGGGTTAATGTCTGTGTTCTTTATGTTATTTTAAAATAGGTGTTGAGTAATACTCCCCAAGTATTCTTTCTCTCGTGTTACTTAATTATGCATCTGCAAATTCACTCTTGGGAACAAAAAAAAAGTAATGCTTTGTATGTAGAAGACTCAGTTATACATATAATGAATGCATAAAGAGATATGTATATAGTGATACTAAAATTTCATGGGGACATTAGGAAAAGTCTAAATAGATTCCTTAGGGAGAGTGATAATGAAAACTGGAATTGCCTTTTGTTTATGTTCTTTGTTCCTTTTTTTCCTTCTGGCAGTTCATAGTTGTGGTGCCTCTAGACATCGTTGATACTCTGCCTTTCATATGGCAAATTATTTATTTGTTGTCTCACTTTTTAACATATTTATTCAAAATTCTGTCAAATATTTCAGTCTTTTTGTCTTTTGTGATAAAGGAATACTGGGCCCACTCTACCATCAAATAAACTCTTCTGTGTTTTCTTCTAGTAGTTTTATAACTACATTTTATATTAAAATCTTTATCTGGCATTAAATGTGGTTTTTGATGTGTGGAATAGATGAGTTGAACTCTTTTCAAACAGATGGCTAGTTGTCTAAATGTAATTTGTTGAATAGCCCAGACCTTTCTCCACTTACTTAAAATCTCTAGATACACATCTCTAGATACACATATGGGTCTATTTATGGACTCATCAGTTTTACTTATTTTTCTATTTTTACACTAGAACCATAGTTTTAATTAATAGAGCTTTATAATGTATGTTGATATCTCTTATAGTCTTCTCTCATTGTTTTAAAAAGTTTCTTGTCTCTTTTCACACATTAATATTTTTCCAGATGAAATTGTCAGGTTCTTTAATAAAAGTCTTTGAGGGGTAAAGGGAATGTTGTTACTGGGATGAGAGCTTTTTTCACTTTAAATTTGAACTGTTTATTGCTAATACAGTAGTCTTCCCTTATCAGCAGGTAGGTTCCAAGACCCTCAGTAGATGCCTGAAACTGAGGGTGGTACCAAACCCTATATATACTGCTTTTTCCTATAAATCTATACTGTGATAAAGTTTAATTAACAACTAATAAAATGGAACAGTTGCAACAATTTCAGGATTAGAAGATTCATTCTTATTATCCATGTTAGCACTCTCACCATATGATTTTTTTTCCTCATTAAGTCAATGACTTTTACTTTCTCACTTGAAGGAAGCACTTTATGGCTTCTCTTTGGCATAACTGAGTTGCCAGCACCACGGCTCTTGTGCTTTGGGGCTATTCTTGGTAAGGTAAGGGTTACTTGCACACAAGCACAGTGATGCCACACAGTCTGATAACCAGAATGGCTACTAAGTGACTAACAGGCAGGTAGCCTGTACAGTGTGGATACACTGTACAAAGGGAGGATTAACATCCTGGACAGAATGCAGTGGATAGCATAAGAATTCATTATGCTGCTCAGAGTGGTTTGCAGTTTGAACCTTATGGATTGTTTACTTCTGGGGTTTTTCATTTAATATTTTTGGTCTGTGGTTGACTTCAGATAACTGTAGATAAAGCCTGGGACTACTATATATCAGAAAGTGAGTGGTTTTTATAGTGTAACTACCCATATTGCTAGGTTATTATTTCTGTTAGGCTTTCAGTTGATTCTCTTTTCTAAATATATTCTCATATCTATGTAGAATTAAAAACTTCTCTTTCTAGTATTTATACTTAATTTTTTTATTGTGTTGTATATATTAACATGCCAGTGAAAGTAGGCATTCTCACCTGTTCCTTCCATAGGATGTCTCAAATGTTTCAGCATTAATTATAATAGAATGATACTTGTTTTCTATGAAAAAATACTTATATCACATTTGGGACATTTTCTTCTACTTTTAGTTTCCTAAGGTTTTTTTTGTTTGTTTTTTTCCAGTCGAGAGGTTTTTGAATCTTCTTAGATTTTTTTTGTGTCAAATAATTATTAATTTTAATATTTACTATTAATTAGAAAGGAAATCTAAATACAGACGTGCTTGGAGTAGAAGGAAGATCTTCCTTACCTGGGAATAGGAAAATGAGAGAAGCTTTGAGATTTGGAAAGTGAAGAAATTGAGAAGAGTGTTTCAGGCCTAGTTTGCAATATAAAGATACAAGAGTGTGTGATGCCTTTGAAGAATGGTTAGAGTTCACTGCAGTTATGGGAAAATGTGCAGTGTGGATTTGGGAGAAGTGAGTTGGGATGGAGAGTGATAGGGGTCAGATCATAAAGGCCCTTATTTTTCTTGCTAAGGAGTTTTGTTTTATTCTGAAGGCAATGGGAAGTTATTAAAGAGTTAATGGTCAAAAAGTGATGTTAGATTTGAAAGTAGCCTGGTGGGGGAACAGAGTACATTTTATCTAATTAGAAGAGACCAGATAGGAGGTATTTGCAGTCATTTCTACAAGAGACATTGACTTGGACTAGGGTGATTTAGCAGTATGGGGGAGAAGTGAGTGAGTTCGAGAGAGACATATGATGCATTATCAACAGGATTTGTTCATTGATTGGTGTAATGAGTGAGGGAGAGGGCGGTGCAGGTATAATCTCGTTTTTGGCATGAGAGATGGGTAGTGTTGGTCATTGAGATTGAGGATATGGGAGTAGAACTGGTGATAGGTTTAGTTTCAGATAATATTGAATTTGAGGAGCATGTCGGTCATTTAAGTGGAGATACCTGTTAAGCATTTGGGTTGGGAAATCAAGAAAAGGTCTTGGTTTATCATCACAGCTTTGGAAGTAATTAACTTGTAGGCAGTAATGGAAGTTAGAGGAGTGTGCGGGATTACTTTGGAGGAATGTGTAGAGTGAAAAGAAGGCCTGGGCACTCTTAAATGTCACACACTGACATTTAAGGGTAAGCGAAAGGAAAAGGGTCCATGAAAAAAACCCTGAAGGA